GGATAATTTTTGTTCGAGCTATCGTTTTAATGGACACAACATACATATAATATATTTGGATATGAATTTTCATAACGGATGGTGTTTTGGCCTCTGGGGACATCAAAACAAAAAAGTAAGTTGGTCCCGGGCCTAGGTAATACCGTGCCACCTATGGTAATAGCCATTTTCTTTTTGGGAAATTAGCTAACAGCTTCCCGTGTTGTTTGAATAATGTCAATAGTAATATAATTTGCTGACTTAACTGAACAAACCCTAACGTGGTCAATTTAAAGGCAAAATGCCTTTGAACAAATCAACGAGTCCAATACTAAAATAACTACAATGCAATCATAGTATCAACTTAAAACTAGTAACTGAATAAAATAATGCATTGTAGACATACTATATTAGTGAAAGCAATTCTATTCTTTCCATAATTATTTTTTTCTGGTTAGTTATTAACCTATTTCCATGATATATTTAGTGATATAGTATTTAAAACAACTACTAATTGCATAATGTATGTTATATTGCATTCAAATGCTGGCTAGTAATAACCACAAACGTTTTTCTTAAAACAGCTGATTAGCAAGTCCTCTTCGCATGACATGCTTATTTCTTATTGGTTCATTGTTGTCTTATTCGCGTCGTTGATGATATGACGTATTTTCATGTTATTACGTGTGTATTGTCGTTGGCAGTGTCCGTGTGTTCGCGTAGTGAGTAACTATATCGTGTGGTTTTCATAAGTGTATTTCAGTAGACATTTACTTAAAGTGCAAGTAGCAAAAGTGTCTTATTTAGTGAAATTATTTAGACTGATTTTCCTGTGACATGTGTTTTTGATCTGACGATTCATGCAGTATTCTGGTTAGTATTGTCAATTATATTGTTTGCCAAGTTAACTTTCTAGCTTATTAAAAGTGAATGATGCAATACTCGTAATTTTTATGTGGTTGAAAAGATATATGTGATTGTATAATAGCTTAGCCTACATTATGATTATCAAATAGGCTACCGAAATGTTCTGTAATTTGTATAGGGTATATTGTTTCATGAAATAATTACGGTATTGTTTTTGGAATGTTTTCTTAAATAAAAACAAAATAAGACGTTGATATTTACACTTCGAAAGCTAAAACGAAGCACGTTCCAATAAAATTAGAGCCTCAGATGGTATCGCCTGCTTGCAATTCCTTTTTTTTAGTTAGGCCTATTGCAAATCTTTTTCTACTGATGAAATGGGACGCAATTAATGTAAATTTTGCTAAAATTCTATGATTACACAAAACAGCGAGTAGCATATTTTTTTGTTTTCTCATTTGAAAAAGTAGCCCATTTGACTAAGAATATTTAGGAATACTTAAGAACCCATGAACAATTTACATAATATATCAAACTTTTAGGCAACGTATGATCTGTTCAATATTTTCATAACAAATATGTACATACCTTAATACTTTTAATACTTTTCATCGAAATGGCGACCACACAAAGTAGGTATTGTAAGCCAAATATGAATGAAGAACTTAAGCTTTAGAAAACATAAATGTATCGTACTCTAATCTCATCTAATTTAACTTTTCATTAATTTTATATACAGTAGACTTCTTTTAACTTTAGATTCGACAGGATTGGACCCTTGTACTATCAAAACCTAACCACGAAAATATGTGAAAATGAATCAACCCCTACTCATCATCATAGTGACAAAGTCGATGTATTTTATAAACTATAAAACTATAAATAAAAAAATCACGTAGGTAATGAACATACATGAGTTAATTTGAGTGTAGAAAGTAAGAATATTTAATTGAATTCAATTCTCTCCTTTGAATTCAAGTTTTTTTCTGGAAAAGTACTAATCGAATTCAGTGCCCGGGAGTAATCTACTTTTACTGTAACACTACAGAAACAGAAAATAACAGTTTCACAATCTGAATTGCAATGCAATTTCGTAAATGCTGTAGAAAGCTTTTTGCGACTTTTGAAGCCAAATAGGATTTCTTATTTCGCTATTTGATTGTCATTTCTTATAGTTCCTCACGAAAATCCTTACATATAAACGTTGTAGTCTAAGAGTTTTGTTCGTGCCGATATATTTAGATTTATATTTACTATATACTAGCTGTAACCCGCGGGCTTTGCCCCGTTTAACTTCTTAATTTTCAAGATGATCTCGTTCGCATGGCTCAATCACGTCCTGGTTGAAGTTCGTTTGCTACGCTCACTCACCTTTAGGTTGGAGCTCGTTCGCTACGCTCACTCACCTTTAGGTTGGAGCTCGTTCACTGAGCTCACTTGCCTTCAGGTTAGCTCGTTCGCTACGCTCACTTGCCTTCAGGTTAGCTCGTTCACTACGCTAACTCGCCTCCAGGTTGAAGTTCGTTCGTTATGCTCACTCACCTTTTGGTTGAAAATTAGCTGTTGTCATAAATGTAAAAGAAATAATAGTGCTGCACCCTGTTGGTAATCCTTGTAACTTTAATGCTATTGAACATCATAGAACAGAACCAACTTGTTTAATTGAAACAGCTGTTAAGATTCATTAATTCCATTTCTCATAAGGTTAACATGGGAAACTCCAGAGCCACTGGGGCGGAGCCGATTGGACGGATCACGAAATTGATGGTGTATAAACCTATTCCAAGAAATTCTACACGTATGTACCAAGTTTCGTGGCAATCGGTTCAGCGGTGTCTGAGTTTATCACTGATAAATATACATATATATACAAACATCCTCTTTTATACTTATAGAAGATTTTTTAAACAAATAAATAGTATTAATAATACGTATGTTAGTGGACATTAAAAAATTGTGTAGGGGAAATTTGATTAAAGGTTCAAGTTGAAGGTTAAATTTTATTAACATTTAATTACAGTGTCCAATGGTTTTTAATATTCATTTGTATATTAGTCATCTATTTTAAGTCTGTAAAATATACTCTACTCTACTCACACACACACACCACGGCATTTCCCCTCCCCCACATTCTCCTTAAAATCATACGATGCCTACGTCATATGGCGTGATCTTTCTCTGTCTCTTTCCCTCTCATGGAAAATTCGAATTTCCCCACCATGATTTTATTCAGTTAGCGTCTAAAACCTTCCTCGAGCGGACGTATGTACCGCGCCGCGCCGTTTTTAGGGCAATCTCGGTCTTTTGACCACCTCGTGGTGGAAGTGTCCCCACAATCTCTATCTCTTTATCAGTGAATAATAATACTAAATTTTCCCTTTCGAGTGTGTGCAGTGCATCAGAACCTCAAGAACTTCTTGTGTGTCCCTCAGCGTGGTGAGCTCACCCAATCCCCATTCCCCCTGTTACCTTCCAATGTTGGATTTTCTTATTGAAAGGTATGTGACACTGTTTTTTCTAATCTCTATCAACTCCCATATCGAACATTTTGGTCCTTCGAGCCGGATGTGCTTTGAATCACGCTTAGGAAACTTGCCACTTTGCAACTTTGAACTTTGACTCGGCGTCCTTTGAAAAGCCACATGTTTATTTTTCGTTATTATTTCACTGAACTCAAGTCTCAAACTCTCTCTCATAATTTTCTGTGCGGTAAACACAAATTTTATTGTGCATAAACTCTGAACATTTTGTAGTATAAGTGCTTATTGAAATTAATTATTTCGTTTTGGCGCGGTATCGCCATTTTTTTCTTGGTTGCGGTGGTTGTACATGAACGAGGGAAACGCCGCTTCCCCCTCTTTGCAAATCAACTTGAACTGTATTGGACGATATGCGCGCCTGCGCGAACTTCGCTTGGTGATCGTATCGATCGTGAGCGTTCTCCCCCCTCTGATCGATCAGCTGATCGACCGAACTCAAAGCGCATCAGCTGTGCAATTGATGTGAACTTTATTCCTTTCCTCTCTTTCCTCTCACAACAATAACAACAACACATATGCTTTTGTCAATGGTTTAATTAATTATAAGTGTATGTGTGAATTTTGATTTATTGTTGATACTAGGCCCACTGTCATTATTTATTGATCATAACGTAATTTGTTATTGACCTTGCAAATTTTTATTTGTTTTTATTTCTCATTTAATTATATTTCACATTAATATGCTAACTCCTCTTGTGATCATATATGCTGATTGTGTTTAAACAATTGTTTAAGATTAGTTGTTCTCTCGGGTAATTCATTTAATCCTTGACTGCTAATTACACATTATTTAGTGGCCCTTTCACTATTGACGTTTCTTGTTTGTCTTGTTTATTCTTTTGTCTTCTTTTGAGTAATCATAGTATATCCTTGTTAGGTGCGTTTTGTTGTTCTGCTAAACAGTTAATTAATAGAAATCAACTGATTTAACTTCACTGTTGTAAATGACCTAGTTTTACATTTCTATTTTTTGTTAATTATTGTTCTATCGTCAAATTACTTATTTAGTTAATTGAACTTAAGTATTTTATGATCTATCAATTTATAGCACACTATTTATTACCGATCACTGAGATCATAACACGCGGTGAGCGTAGCTGATTTCCGTTCATAGCCTCTCTAGGTCAGCTGTTTCAGTCAGCTGTTAGTACAAAGCCAAACGGTGTTCATTGTGGAACATCCGGAACCAACTCAAAATACGGCATTCCATATAAAAGCCGTACAGCTCTATAAATCCTCTGATATTTTATTTTCGCTCATCTAAATATTCGTTTGACAGCTCTTGAACACAAATAGTGTCCACTTAACAATTTTAAATAGTTGTTAATTTTTAATTTATGCTTTCCATTTGTCATTGATTGTACATAAAAGAAGCTAACGTAACACATTTTTATAGGCTAACCACTGTGTATAAATACGGTTGAATACAAAACAAACCATTAAAGTAATACATTTATCCCCTATTGTTAACGTATTGTTGAAACTAACTTTTCTTTGTTAACAACATTGTTTAGCATTTATTCATGTTTAATGCTTATTATAACTTTTTTCTTTTATGGTTTCATCATTGTAGAATTTTTGAACTTATTGTGAGGTAAATTCATAACCTAAACAATGCCTGGACCAATCAAGTTTTCCACTTATGAACGCTCCACTGCTTTAATCAAAGCAAGGTTTGAGAAAATTCTCACTGCAGTAGAAGCTGTAGCTAATCTACCCCCTCCTCTCAGCCAGGTCAACTTAAGAACCTTAAGTAGTTATGCAAAAGAAATAACTAAAAAACGTGCTGACTTTGAAGGTAACCTTCAAAGAGTTCTTGAAGGTTTGGCCCCTGAAGAAGCTCCAACCTCACAACTGTCTACTGATCAAGATGATATCAATGATGTTTATATCAAAATTCAAAGCATTATTGAATCTTTGAATCCAATTGACGAACCACGCACCCCTTCTGCACACAGCGAGCCAGGTTCAATTTTTACTCATGCGTCAGTAAATATTAGGCTCCCGAAGCTGGAACTAAAACACTTTGATGGCAATCCATTACAATGGGTTAGTTTTATTAACCTCTTTGACTCTAGTGTACACAAAAATGTGAGTGTGTCTAATGTGGCCAAATTTCAGTACCTTTTAAGCGTTGTGTCGGGAGAACCCCTCAGCTTAATTAAATCCCTTAACATCACCACTGCGAACTACTTAGTTGCATATCAACTCCTTCGTGATCGCTATCACAACACAAGGCGGCTCACCACTCTGCATTTAAACCAGATAATGGACCTGCCTAACATTACCTCTGGTTCTCTCCATCAACTTAGGGGATTCATCAACTTGTTCTATGAACATAGCGAGGCCCTTAAAGCCCTCGATTGTGATGTCTCATCTAACTCTAACCCTTTACTGTCAGCATTGATATTGCGTAAAATAGACTCGGAAATTCGCAAAAAACTTGAAGCTTATAGGTCTACTCAAGACCATGAAGCACACACTCTGCCGGAAGTGACGGAAATAATAAAATTCCTCAATATCGAATGTGATCAAGTGGAAGACGCTGGTTTGCACCTAAGTCACTCTTCTATAAAGACTAATTGTGGTCAACCCTCTAAATTCAAAGGCACAAAGTCGGTCAAATTCTCCTCTGACCGTCCCAGCAAGACTGTGGCTATGCTTACCACTCACAAGACGCAATCGTCTACCTCTTGTTTTGACTTTGGTAAACCAGACCACAAAATTTATGTTTGCCCTACCTTTAAGGGTAAAACCCCTCAACAACGATATCAAATCGTAAAAAAAGAGAGCAGATGCATCTCTTGTCTCGGCTACCATGATAGCAAGTTATGCAAATCTCTGGCTACTTGCTACATTTGTCATAAGAGACACCATAGCCTGTTGCACTCACACTTTCAACAACCCTCAGCTGACGTTAAACCTCATAAGGTACCTAAAGACAATCTCTCCCCCGCTAAAGTAGCTACAGCCATGACTTCTCAATCTCAGTACAGTTCTGAATCCACTGTGCTCCTAGGTACTTTGTTAGTACAATTGACCTCCCCTCAAGGTACTACTCACGTCTTCCGGGCTCTCTTAGACTCCGGAAGTATGTGTAATTTTATTTCTGAGCGTGCTGCTCAATTGCTGGGTGTCAAGCGCACACATTCTTCTGATCAAATAACAGGTATTGCTCAGACGGCTACCTCTACCCGAGGACTGACACACTTGACTCTAACCACTCTCTCAGGCCCCACCATGGTAACTCAGCACCCCTTCCTCATTTTAGATAGGATTTCTATGGATTTACCCAGAGCAAAACTGACCCCGGAAGTGTTCCACAAAGCCAAAGCCTACACACTAGCTGACCCTACGTTCCACTTACCTAGTAGTGTAGATGTTCTGTTAGGTGGAAGTTTATTCCCACAGTTACTCACTAACGAAAGTCACTCGCTTGGTCCCAACCTCCTAATCTCTAAGGGTTCCTAATCTCCTAAGGGTTTTTTCTAATCTCTATCAACTCCCATATCGAACAAGTTGTATTATTATTACTGTGTTGCTTTTAATAAAGTTGAGTAGGCCTACCGTTTACTTCTTTATATCGTTTTACAGCATGAAAATAACTAGGTGGGGGTAGACGAAACTAGTTGTTCTACTGTATATTTATAAATATCGATTGAATAGTTTCAGGTTCAAACACTAATCTGTTGGTTCATTTTACCACATATTATCACGTACCTGTATATTCCTATTTCATTTTTGTAACAAAATGTAGTAGAAGTTTTGAGCTAATACGAACTAAATTACTTGATTATTTCTCCAGCCAAGCTCAATATTGTTAAACATTCCACAGTTAACTGTTCCCTTTGTAACAGCTAACTGATGTAATTAGTTTGTTCTGAGTTTTAGCGCTAGGAGACGGATAAAAGCAAGCTATTTGTATAAAATCTGCCGAAACATCAATTATAGCTAAAACTAAAACTGTTTGTTAAAGAAACAAACTTAAATAACAATTCAGAACTGTTGTGCCTCATCGTTTGGTAAAAAAGTGAGATATCTGTTCACCAAGTTGGTATGGGACTTACAATTTATATTCAGCAGAGGTGCTGATGTAATGCTGAGTCTTGGCGTATCTCCAGACCCTAATGTGCTGATACAACTATCTGCCAACATCTCACGGTGACGTAATCTAATAAACTCGTTTTAACAAATGAGTAATGACTTTTGTAGTGTCAAGTTTAACCCTTAAAATAGTAAGTATAACGCAATTAACTGGTTATCATATTTTGTTTAATGACCCTAATCCTCATTAGATAGAAAGATTCAGGAGTATTCTAAGAAAATTCAGATTTCAGGTGGCTCGGATTCTGGCCCCGATTATTATACTTACTTTGCTAAAGAATCTACTGATCGTAGTCGGTAAAAAGGTTATCATAGCACTCATTCTCCATTCACTCTTCACTGATATACTACTTTAAAATAAATTTCATGTATTTTCATCTTAGAAAACTAATATAACCTCGATTAGAAGTAATACATTCAATTCATAAACGAAAAAAGAAAAAAAAATTAAAAACTAGAAAATTTACTCAGTCTACATTTTATTTCAAATTTGAATAATTATTCCAAACATTCATACACTATACGAAAGGTCGGATCGTACGTTTTATTTAATTTAATTGCTGTCGTAAAACAATATGCTTCTGGGGAGTGAGCGAATTCTAGTGGTAGAGCGCGAAACTTCGATCTCAGAGGACCCCAGTTCAAAGCCCCTCAATCACCTATGGGTAAAAAAAAAACGATAATACCACAGTCTTCTAGACTTAACCAAGATGTGTTAATCGGTTCCGGGCTGGAATCCAGGGTCCTAGGAATTTAAAAGGGAAAAACATCAAGCTTCAAAATAAATATGTTTTAAATTTGTAAATAATTTTCGCAATTTGATATAAAAACCTCCAACAACCTCACTATCTAAAAAACCTCTAGGTTTGATATTCTAAGCATTTGTCGTCTGTCAAATGAAATCAGAGCCAGATGTCGAAGTAATTATTGGACAACGACTGTAGAGAAAATAAAACTTAAAACAAAGTTTGTTGAACAATGACACTAAGTTATTTGAATAGCCATCTTTGTTATAACACCATTCTTAAAACATTCGAAAACTTAAGTGAACTGTATCAAATACGTTTTATTCACCTAGTGTTATTTAAATACCTCCAAATAACTGATTCCATAACATGTCTTTTAACAGTCGATGTTTTCTAACCCAGAACCCGTGGATAACTCAGGGGTTTAAACATAGAACATACTCTTTAGGTTGGCGAATTCGGTTTATTAGATGTGAAAGTACAAAAAAACTTTTAACTTGTAAAATAAGTGACTGAAAAAGACTCAACCCCACTAATCTCCCTCCCATGTTTTCTTTGATATAGATGTAATTTAAGATCCTTCTTAGTGTAAAAGAAAGTGCTGTAACTAATTAATTAAGTGGTCCAGCAGCAAAAAACATTCAAGCAAATTTTGAGACAATGGTTAATTAGTTCTTTCTTCTACCACCACGAAAACAGCTCTATTTATCTTCCATTTTATTTATAATTACCAAAATTATAGTAATCCTTACTAAGTTTTAATTTATGGTAAAATAATCTTCGTTTTGTGTTAATAGATTATACGTGTAATGAGAATCAAAGATACTTTCGTTCTAAATAACTAGTAATCAACATATCATAAGTTCATTTTACAAACAATATAATTGAGTCCTTTTAGCGGGACTATGTCAACAAATTATACTTATTCGTTACTCGTATGATCGAAAAATGAAAAATAGGAATGAGCTGAAATTATTTGATACAGATATGTCCAAAATCAATTACTATCTTATTACTACACGGTCTTATTAATACTACTATGTTATTTTTCTAGTATTCGTGCTATTAACACTATAAGACTAAGAGGTATAGTCGAGCGGAGCACACAATAACAGCTAAACATATTTTAATCAAGATTACCAAGTTTATTTTAACAAATAGTGAGACGGTTTTGTAAGCAGCAAATTTCAATCTAAAAATTCCAATACAACTACAAACCAACTTAGAATTTGAAATTCTTAACATTGGAACTTATTTGTTTCCATGATGGCTACGAAACAACAACGTAAACCTAAACAAAGAATCATCACATATGATTTTAAAAAGCCAAAATATAACCTAAAACAGTACAGTGGAAATAACTTCAAAAATCATTGATCAAAGAATACACAGAATGTATAACAGGGCATTTTGAAAGCACCAATGATAAATAGATACAGCATAATATAGATTTTATTCATGTAATTTAAATTAGAAACAAAACAAATAATTTAAATAAGCTGTGTTTTCAATTCACTGGCAATCTGTCAAGTCAATGTTTGTTCAAAGCTACAAATAGGCAATTAGAAACAAGTTGTTTTACCATTGGCTGAAAATATTTATTAGTTTCGAAGTATGATTGATTTTATAAATGTTTGCTGAGTGTGCTGATTTCAACGAAATGTTTTTACCAACGTAACAAAACCAAATAGTGCGGCTCATATGTAACTTATTAGCAAATTGTCCAATATATGTTTATCGAAATAAGCGATTAGAAACACGCGGGTTTCCCATGAACTCAAATCAGTGCAAGTAAACTTCATATCCCAATTAGAAGCTTGTTTGATTAGTGTAACGTGTTGGTACACTTAACACTTAAGTGCACTGATCTCAACGAATTTTGCACATTAACCTGCGTTTTATGAGAAAAATGTGCTCTACATTTGAAACATTTAGCTGGTCTAAGGATTACAATATCTACATCCTACAGTATTTGTTAGAAGAATGTTTAGGAAGTATGCATAATCAGCTGACGACTCAAGTCGCTGTATTGTGTTCTATCTACATATTATGTTTTTAATAAAAATAAATAGTAGTTTACGCAACGATTGCGAAAAGATAGTGTCGGTAACACTATTCACGCTAGTTGCGTACACTACTTAACCTACGACAGTGTTTTAATTACTAAAAATCACTACTCATAACTCCTAAGAGGTTATGTTTTTCGTTTATATCCTCCCATTGCCACTGACAATGATCTAATTGCACCACTCAACAATTAAATTGACCTGAACAGCTGATTAGTTAAAGTTTAAATCATTTTAATTCTACTTCTCTCTTAATCCTTGAACCTCATTGGTCCGTTACCTGTGTTGTTATGAGTAAAACTATGATGTTATAAAAGTAAACAATGCTGTTATGTGAAACTTTTAAATTCCAAGAACTGAACTGAAACGGTTTCTTTGATAAACGGTCGTAAGTAAATATATTTTAAAAAGAAGCCTGAAGGGCCGTGTTTTTTACCCTTTTTTGTTTCAGTCATTTGAAAACAAGAAAACCTTCCTTAAAAAAAAAACAAAAACAAGCAACTAGCCTAACCAAATGAAACGTTCTAAATTATTAAAAACAACAGCTCTGGTATTAGAACCAAACAGTAAAGCAAAAAATCATAAAATTGACCCTAAAATTAGAGATGGGAAAAACCGTGAAACCAGCGGTTAACATCACCAACATGAACTGTACATAAAAATAAACCTCAAATGTTATAACGGGATGAGAAGTCTACTTGTGTCGATTCGTCTAAAGGTACCTCTACTATAGCCACCTCTAATACACATACATAGAAGGTCACCTGTGTACTAGAGAAGGCTATGCCACTACTAAAGCAGGATTATTTGAAAGAGATAGGTAATACTGTATAAGCCATTTAAACTTAATGGGTTGAACTATTTGTAATATAAAACTTTGACTTCTCAGTGGATATGGAGAGCTTTCCATTGAATGTTCTAATAACAAACGAAGTGGATTGTACGATACGTGAACCCGATGTGTTATTGGATTCAATCAGAGTATAAGACATTCTTTATACTCAATTGTACACGATTCGCGTGTGAGATTGTTTTACTGATATGTTCAATCTTTTTGTCCACCATAAAAGTATAAATCTCAGTTGTAGTGTTCACTTTAAATTCTTATAAAATACGTTGCAATATTTTTAAGCGTAACAAAAATTATAATTCTATCCACTCTTAACAAAAATATAAGTGTTTCTAACTACAATATTTATTGAGTTAGTATTTTGACTTTACAAAGTGACAAATTTAAACTTTTAGAGTGAAGTAAAGATATTAAAACCGGAACATTTTCACACCCACCAGCTGGGCGTGAAATTGAAAGAAGAAGTTTAAGTTAAATGGAAAATTCCAATTGGACTAAGGTTTAAGTGGAAACTCTCTTTGTGTTTTTCTTTTCCAACTTCTGTAGAAAATAGGTTTATTATTTTTATTTATAGAGATTTGACTTTGCTAATATTCTTTATTTATCATAATCGTTGTAAAAACGCTTAAAAATGGTTTAAGTTTTTTTAGCTATACAATAAATTTACATGAAAGAAATATTGAAATAAAGATTTTACTCTTATCA